GTTGGGGTGTATGTATATATTAATTTTTATAATATTATTATTAATATTTAATTAAATATAAAAAACCTGTATCTATATATAAAATATCTGATTTTTGAAAATTAAAACTTGAAATCTGATTTTGGAAAATAGATCTTGAAAAGTAGGGAATTGGGTAATTTGCACGTAAAAAAATTTAGTACCTAAATTGGAAAAAACTAAATAGATACAATAGTGAAGACCAATGTTCTAAAAATCGTAAAGCGTGATTAGACGTGGGAGCGAAGCTTTAAGCTTTACGAGTTTAAGCAAACCTGAGCAATTCCTAGGTATAAAAAAATGTTTTCTTATTTTTAACATTATCTTAATTTTTTAATCATTTTAAAATTTATTTAATAATTAAAATTATACATATCAAACATCTAAAATTATAAATTACTATATTTACTCAGTGAGTGTTTGGTGAGGATTAAAATTATATTTTTAATAGATTGTGATAGAAGTTTTTGAAATGTAGTTGAAAAATCATGGGACTCATGAAAGATGTAGTTAATATTGATTGTTTGACTTTAACTTACATTAAAATCTGATTTTAATCCGAAACAAACATGGCCTTAATAATTCCTATAATTAGTCAATTATACAATTTTCAAGTTTTCGAAATGCAAACACTAAATTATTTTTTATAGTTTCAATTTTCAATTAGACAAGTCCTACCTAATAGATTTATAGGAACTCCATACATACTTTCAAAGTTTTCAACAACATAACGAGTCTCAAGATCGTAATTACATGTGTAGATAGCACTATAGCTTAATCTTATTTAACTTTTTTATCGAATAAGGTCATTTCTAACTTTTGTATAGATAACGTTTTTCAAAAATTTGAAATTAAAGTCAAATGAATTTTTGTTTAAAAAATAAAAAAATTAATAAATAAAAGAATTTTAAAAAAATAAAAATAAAAAAATTTAATAAAGCGCGCCTAGGAAAAACAAAATAGAGAAATGAAAAAATTCGAACGTTAAGGAATTGGGAAAAAATAAAAAAAGCCTAAACGCGAAGCAAGACGTTTTGCCCGGGTTTCAAGTTTAGGCACCTAAACGAGCTTTTTAGAATACTAGTGAAGACGTGAGAAAATTTTAGAATATACAAACGTCCGTTTTTATACATAGCTTGATCGACATGAATACTATTTACAAATGCAAAACAATTTGACGATAAACTAAAAATTAAGGACGTGGTAATGAAATTGATAAATCCTAAAAGAAAATGTTTCATACTTTTAAACTTATTTATACATTATATAAGTTAAAAATAATTGAGATTTTCAAGTGGTTTCAAACTTTAAAAAAATATTCAAATTTAGCAAAAAAATAATATGATCCAACTTGAATTGGACCCAAACAAACTCAAGCTTAATCCGCTTGGATTGAGTTGGGTTGGTTTGATTTTAGATCAAATCAAGCATGTTGGATTTTTTATTCAATCCAAACCACGCCTTGCCCAAATCACTAATTGCTCATTGGTAGGGGCATAGAGGTGTTATAAAATTGTCTAAATTTTGACCGTTTCTTAGATTGTCTTATTTATCTTAGAGAAATCAAGTAATTTGTTTAATAGCTTAAGAGGAAATGAGAAGTTTCACCTACCAGGATTGCTAAACAGCCCTATTTAAATTTGGTTGGCGGTGTAGACTCGCAATGGCGAGAAAAATCGCATAGGATTTAACTAGGTATATAGTGGATTACGGTCTTCCGTAGGGTTGCATTCAAGCCAATCGAAAGATGATTTAAATATGTCATAAATGATCTAATGCCTACAGTTGGCATGGATCATAATGCCCACCGTTGGCGAAGTGGCAACACCGGATGTTGCCACGTCCATGATGGTCATTAGATCAAAGCTACTAAATATGTTGAGTTTTGACGGTCAAATTTGCAAATTAACTCGAAATACAAATAAAACTAGGTTGCATTGAGGTTTCCTAATTGAGATTCATATATATCAGAAATGATCTAATGAGCACCGGTGCTCATCTTATCCTAAGCACCAATGAGTTGGCACATTAATTCATTGGTGGATTGGAACTCACAAAATCTTTATCCACCAATGAATTAATGTGCCAACTCATCGGTGCTTAGGATAAGATGAGCACCGGTGCTCATTAGATCATTTCTGTATATATATAT